GAAGATCCAAGCGAGTGTTATTGTAGTAACGATGATGAATGAGTTTTAATAAGTTAATAGTAATTGTTTCACAGTATCTTCTCAATAATTTCCAAATCTATTAATTACTAGACTTACAGTCTATAACTTTTGAAAAGTAAACATCTCTGATGAAAAGGTAAGACCTACACTCAGGCGCTTTAGTTAAATTATACCGTATTCGAGATGTTTGACGAATCTAAGCATTAAATCACATTAGAATTCAAAGATAAGACCATTGGTAGTTATATTGAGAATCCAGGATAATATAGACCACACCCGGACACGTTCCGGGTTCTCCCGGAGCACTAGAACAAAATCATTTAATTTTTCCCTGGTGCTCCGCGTGTAGCAACCACCCCATTTCCGGCCTATTAAGCACAACCCGCACTTAGTCTTTCTTAATCTAGCGCAGTTTAGCACCAAACGGCATGATATTATTACTGATTACCAAAATTATTTACCTTTTCGTATGAACCGTTAGATTTTATAAAGAGAAACCAATCCTTGAGATATTGTCAAAAGTCTAACACTGCTTTTTGACGCCAAACTCGGCCTACGGACTCGAAACTCGGCCTAACGCATTGAAACGCCAATGAATTCACTTCGGCCTATCGGATGAAGATAAAAATTGATTCGGTCGGAGCACTTCTTTTGTTTTGACGTAGGACTACTTCTGTGATTTCTATATGGAGGTACACTTTGTGAAAACCGAAAATGGAACATGTAACAAAATTATGAAAGATTTTGAACGTTAATAACTCAGCTGCCCCTGAACCAATTTCAATAATTTATCACCAATCGATCAGACATATTCCTACGCAACTATTAAATCTTAGACAATATCATTTTTCAAAATGTAACTATTGAAAATTGCACGACTGTACAACTGTTGCTATGATAATTAAAATTATCACCTATTACCTGCGAAAAGCGATTTCCCGAACACAGATTTCAAAATTGAATTTCATCCGGTCTCACCAAACGGTGTTTATTCAATCACCGCGGTGTGAGTGGTAGTGTTCTCCAGTACACAACGAAAGGCTACCTGCAAGCAGCGAACTGCAGCCCACATGAGCATCCATAGAAGGAGGAAGAAGCCGCACCGCTATTGATCAGAATCAGTAGCTCTTCGTGAGTCGCTGTGGGCCATCTATGCCAAGCGCGTCATGCTAAGGCTAAGATTTACCAACTTGTTGAGAGGAGGAGTTTAGTGAGAAAAACTAAAAAGGGGAAGGAGCTTTAGCTGATATTCTACGGCCTTTCAACCTGTCGCAGACACCAGTTCAACCCCTGTTCAACAGCAGACTCTTGCCAGTGCTCAATCATTGAACTGAAAAATATGGGACTGTCCGATTTGCTGATCCAGCTGCCTACACGTCATCATCATCTTCCAAAGGCTTTAAGCCTGTACTAACATCGGCCCTTTTCAGGACCACCAAGATTTTCCAAAAGAGTTAAACTTCTGAACCTGTCCCACTAAAATGCATATCAAAAGGTTCTTTCCAGGAAGAGTATAAACAATGCATATACAAAACAAAATCTCCTGCTGCAGTTAACAAATAACATTTATGATATAAGACCACGTAGTCCTACGTCACCATTGCGTACAACCCCATAGGGCTGTCCCTTGTAGTTTTTTGGGAATAATGGGTGCAAACCTTCATATCACGCGTTCTCATTGACTTCGTTCCGTAGCTTATTAACTGAAGTATCGTACCAAACGCAAGCGAAATGGCAGCAGTAGCGGAAAAGTCCGATCGGAGTAAGCCTATTTGTCGGATTGAAAACTAGTTAGAACCAAATCGACTTCGGTTAGGCATCTTAATGCCATTTTTGACAACTGTCAAACTTTCCGTTTCCGTTCCGCTTCCGCCCACATTGCGTTTGAGCCTTTACCATCCATTCTCCAAACTGTGATGAGTCGGACGACTAATTCTTCCACAATTTTGTAGCACTAAGGACTGTTCATTATTGAAAGTGGACACCTGTTTATCAATGGCTTAGGGTTAAAACGTAACGAAAAATTGGGAATAAGTGAGAAATTTCGAGCGATGGGTCGGATCAGCTTATTAACTCGCAGATTATTTCTGCACAAATGGTTTTTCGAAAAGTTGTCGTTTCCAGAATTGGCAAAAAGCATTACTGCACAGTAAATCTACAGTGTTCAAGATTGTTAAGAAGCTTGGAGAAACGTGTTCTCTTGAAGATTTACCGAAATCTGGGCGCAAAAAGAAGGCATTGGAGCAGAAAAAGGAGTTGGCAGCAGTACGCCTTTTGAAATCGCATAAACCGTCGGAACTGTGCAGAATATCAAAAAACGTAACAATATCAGAAACTACACGAAGCATAAAGCACCCAAAATGACGGATGCACAGAAAGCTTCTTCGAAAATACGGTCACGAAACTTGTACGACGTTCTCCTTCAAAAGCCGAACCGGATACCAGAAAATATGTGCCTGATGATGTGCGATACATCCGAACAGAAAAATTTAGAAAAAAGGTTTTGGTGTGGCAAGCCATTTGCTCCTGTAGCTTGAATAGTTCATCGTATTTCACAACGGGCACAATCAATGGTGAAAATTACAGAAAAGAATGCATCAAAAACAGCTTCTACTCATCTACCGAAAGCATACTGATCCTTCATTGTTTTGGCAGGATCTGGCATCTGCTCACTATGCTTATGCTACGTTGGAGGTGCTCAAGAAGAAAAAAGGCGATTTTGTCGAAAAATTCCAAAATCTCCCAAACTACCCTGAACTGCGTCCTATCGTAAGATACTGGGCAATAATTAAACGGCTCTGTTGACTGCTTTAAGAAAATTTGGTCAGCAGCCCAACGGAAAGTTAAGAAGAAAGTTTTGCAGAATCTAATGGGCGGTATCAAGAGAAAAGTCCGAGCGTTCTGCAGAAATGAGAAGTAAACATTCAGACTCACGTGAAATCGGTCATATGTATGTTGATTTTCATTTATATAAAGTAAACTTATGAATTTGTTCGAAAATAAATATTTTCTTATGAAAAACAGGTGTCTACATTTATAATGAACAGTCCTTAGTATGAAGCTTCAAAATGGCTACCAGCATGAATGCCTCGGTTTCTCCCTTTCTCCTCTATTCACGATACAAAAGAGGTTAATAAAATGTATAATGAATGTTGATTCAAGTGTTTCTTAAATGAGAATGATCCATGCCTTCGTCAAATGACTAAGCAACTGATATCACCAATTCGAAGAAGGTCCTCTTTGTTAGCTGATAGCTGCTTTTCTAATTTTCATCAAAAATGTTCAATTGATTTTGAGAATTTACAGCACTGGCTTGTATAGTCGTATCCGGTGCCTTTTCTCATTTTTTATCAATTTCATTTGCTTTCTCCTGAGGGGTGATTATAAGCCGATCGTCATCATTTTCATCTTTGAGGGGTGAAATGGGTTTGGGGTGCGTCTTTAAGACCTTGGCAACTTTCCAGAATGGTCTGGAGCGGTCGTCCAGATTCTGAACAAGCCGCCCGAAACTTTCGTTCTGGAGTGAGACTATTCTGGAAGCAATCTCCTTGTTCAGATTGGTCATTTCACGTTTCCTCGCTAGTCGGAATGTCGACTAAGACTCCGTTTATGTGTAGCATATACTAAATTGAATGATATCAAGTGACTTGATATCATTCAATTTAGTGTATGCTACACATAAACGGAGCTCTAGTCGACATTCCGGCAAAAAATCTAACCCAACCCGACACCAAGCTGACTCCTACCAAACCCCAACCCGATGTTGACCCGACATTAGCCCGACACAAACCCAAAATTGACTCGTCGTTGACTGTCGTATATCAAATGGTAGTGAGTGACTCAATTGACAGTGACGATGAGCTTCGAATGAGAAAGGGGCTCTTCAAATTATGGTCATGTGAGAATTCGTTTTCACAGAATTGATTGAATGATTGTATTGGTTCAGCTTCATTCGAATGATATGAACATTAACAGCACTATCAAGCTATGCGTACTGTACTGTACAAGATGGCGTGAGGCAAAACTGTCGTGTATTTTACCAAACAACCCTCATTTTCATTTAGTTTGTTTATACTCTACATGTTTGAGTTCAAGTGACGTAGAATTTTCTTTTCAAATTTAGTCTAAAGCAAATTTAAAATTAGTTCTAACAGTGCATTGTCATAACAGACATATTTCGACCAAACAACCCCAAAAAATTGATCCATATGTATACTGAACTAAACACATGTATAGAACCACCCTACAAATTTGGTTTTTATCTGATAAATACGTGAAATCTGAGAGCAAATTAAATGCGTTGCAATAATTTCGTGTTCGTCCTTTAGTCACAAAGGCACATAAAATTAAATTCTTTATAAGCGCAGCTTTTGTCTTTGAGAATAATGATGAATGTTAACATTAAAATTATGCGTTCTTATACACACTTAGATTTTTTCACCGAGATGGGCACCACCGAGCAGCTCGGCATTTTATTTTGCTGGATCTCAGTGAAAAACTTGCCGACATTCAGCTAACAAACGGGAATTTTGCCGAGATCTCAGCTAACAAACATATTTTTTGCTGAATTTCCAGCAAAATAAAATGCCGAGCTGCTCGGTGGTGCCCATCTCGGCAAAAAAAAAAATCTAAGTGTGTAGATGTTGTAGTAGCTTTTGAACTAAGCTATCGTGCCAAACGTATGATTGATTCGTTCACGTCGAAATCATTGATATATTTGATGTATCTGCTCGATGTGACGGAAATACGCACTTATGCCGAAGTAGTTCTCTACCCTACTACCCATAATCGCATAACAGTCCCATATGGATAGAAAATTATGCAAAGATGGGACTGATGTGCGATTATGGGACCGAGAAATTGCGTCCACTTGATGCGCATGCGCGCCATCTGTCAGGACGAACATCAATCCTTGGTCTTGAAATTGCTGCTATCAATTTAATTCGCATCCCTTTCGTGCCTCGACTTCACTGTTACTGTAGTTTGGATTCGTTCAGTTTGTTTTGGTAAAACTTTTCCACCATGATGACACAGCTGGTATTCGTTATTCTGAACACACTAGTCGTCGTAAGTCGGTTTGACTCTGCAGTTGCCAAAGGACCACATCATCCAAGAGGAGATTTCTCCCCCAGAAGCAAGAAGCATCTGGATGAGCATCTCCATGCCCAAGATGAGTGAGTCTGCGATGATGTGTTGTGATTTCTTGAAAATAATGACAAACCTTTTCCAGACACATCCAACAGGACATGAAGGAATTTTCGTTCGGTGAGCAAGAGTTGGCAAACATGTCCGACGAGGAAAAGAATTTCTACTTTTTCAAGTTGCACGATTCCGACAATAACGACCATTTAGATGGGCTGGAAATAATGCACGCAGCGACGCACCATTCGGACGGCCATGTACGCAAACTGGATCGGGATGGAGAAGATGAATTGGAAGATAATTCCGTGATTGGTAGCATTGTTTCCTCATTTCATAATCATTATTTACCGTTATGATTTGCTTCCTAGATGTGATCGATGATTTCATCGCCTACGCTGATTTGGACCAGAACGGCCTACTAACTTACCCGGAATACATGAAAGCGATCAACACTGATGACTGGAACAAAAGAATGGATGTTACTGAATCGCCTACCGCGTTGATCTAGATAACTTTGAAATAAACAGGAACGGATGTCATCACTCAACAAAAACAACTTTTCTTTTAGCCAAAGCTAACTTCAATATTGGCGGGAATGTTACACTATACACAAAAGTACACTACTGCGAACGAGTGCTTACAGGTGACAAGGATAGATCATGTCGCATGGTGCCCCCTGAAGACCTTCCATGATGGCTCGATCGAGCTGAATCAGCATCCGGTTGTATTTGCTGCTCTTCGGGATTTCCGGATCGAAAATTTCCGCTCCCTTGACCAGTGCGTTGGCGGCTCGGGCGTACTCGTTGGCCGTGTGCGGGGACATGCAGGCACTTTGCAACATACAACCCTCCTGGCCAGAACCTTCCGCCGCAAGGTAGCCAATCATCAGACCCGATTCACCAGGTTGGAAAAATGATCCTATCGCGTAAACGAGGGAAAATTATACAGCGATAAAATAATGCTCGTGCTGGTGCTAGAATTGCATCATTTCTATTGTTACCGCACAGGGTGTACCAACATATGTGTGTCGCCCAATTTACCTAGATAATTTCCCTGCCTATTGTCTCCGAAGGCAGGAAGACACACAATGGCGGTTTTGGTTGGTTACGCTTTGCAAGTTTAGGTTAGGTTGTGTGGCGCGTGGTTGTTATGACATAGTCAGTACAGTAAGGAAATAACCTACTGTGATTTGAAACTTACCACCTTCGCTTCTTCCTCGGCCGTAAGCACCCCAATTGCCCGCTCCAATGAGTCCAGCGGCAAAGATGAGCGCTTTCAGTAGAAATAGGATGAGCAAGTTTGTGAGGTTCAGACTCAGAACCTGAAATTATGGGGAAATGTTCAAATTAGATGTAAAGAATTGATAAAGAACAACCGTAGAAGTTTTTCGATTAGTTGCTTGACCTGCAGTTTTCAACGGGTGTTTTTTTAGGACTGGAAGCTTTGTTGACTGATCTTTGATAAGTATGATTAACATTAATTTCAAAAAGATTCCTGATTAGTCCGAGTAATTATCAGTAACTAGATTTCAATGATTGATTTCTTGGAGAGAATCTCATCATGGTAAGATGAAATTCTAAATGGATAACTGTGCAATAATATTTGTACGGGCAAGCTGATGAGGATTTCTGAGAAATTAAAATAAAATGTTTTTCAAATGTTTAACAAAGGAAGCAATACGGCAAACAGTAATGAAGGAAAATATTTCTCGGAAACACAAGCGACAAGGATTAATTTAATTTTAATAAGCTGACGTTCAATGCCATTCAATATCAAAATTCAAACAAACGGTCATCGGACTGTAATGATTCATGTTATCAGCTTAAAATCTGCTTTCATCTACTAGCTTAGTGTCACTGATTCGGAATTATTTAACACATTACGTTATAATGTTCCCAATATCAGGTAAACAAGGGGTTTTTTTCCGAGGGGCATGCAGGACCGGTGCGTCGGACTACAAAATGCAAGTATTTTAAAGTTGTAATTCAATTATTTTGCCGTACTTATTGTGATTAAAAGTACTCAAAATGTAATTAATGGTGCAGAAAATGTTGTTACCGGACTTTAGTTGTGAATTTAGGACTGTAATTCATGGACTTCACAGAAGTTGAAAGGGAGTATTTTTTCCGCGTCGGAAATAAATGTTATTTTCGGATTTTTCGCAAGGTTCCTAGTGATTTTAACACTCCGAATACGATGCCTCCGAAAAACGTTAAAAATAGAATCGTCTTCTTTCTAAAATGCGAAAAGAATTGTTACACGTTTTTTTAAAGTGTTTTTTATGGGTTTTGCAATTGACTTAATTAGATTTATAATCTATATTAATAGGCACAAATGTTCATAATTAGTTTGAATATTTTCATGGTTACTATACATGAATCGTGGAGACGCCGGAACGGTCCTCCGGCAAATCAGGAACATCCGTAAAAGTGGTCAATCCACGAAACTGAGCCTAGAGCTCCGCGTTTTTTTAAACATTAGGAACTGTGATATAAGACTGAATTTGTGGTCGTGACATAAACATGGACCTGGATGGCCATGAGACTGGCCTCTGGAAGATATGGAAAATCCGTAAAAGTGGTTCAGTGGTTTCTTATATCACAGTTCCAAGTGTTTATAAAAGAACTGCAGAGCTCTAGAATCAGTTTCACAGATTGACAAATTTACGGATGTTCCGAATCTTTTAGAGGACAGCTCCATGGCCATCCGGATCCATGTTTATGTTACAACCATAAATTCTATCTTATATCGCAGTTCCAAGAGTTTAAAAAAAAACACGTTTTTTCCCAGTTTCATGGATGATCCACTTTTAAGGATGTTCCGGATCTTCTGGAGGACGGTCCAATAGCCATCCAGGATTATGTTAATGTCTCTATTCCAAATTCTTTCAAATATCACAGTTCGAAGTGTTTTCGACAAAACTACAGAGCTCTAGAATCAGTATCATGGATGGATCACTTTTACGGATCTTCCGGAGGACGGTCCCATAGTCATTCGGGTCCATCTTTATGTTAAGATCCCAAATTAATTCTAATATCACAGTTCCACGTGTTTTCGAAAAAATCCTGGAACTCTTGGATCAATTTTATTGAGTGACCATTTAACGGATGCTATTGATCTTCCGCACGGCGGTCTAATGGCTATCTAGGTGCATGTTTATGTCACGTCACGACCCCAAATTCATTCTTAGGTATATCACAGTTGAAGTTTCTAATGTTTTTGGATAAAACTGCGGAGCTCTAGGATCAGTTTCATTGATTGACCTCTTTTACGGATGTTCTGCACTTACCAGAGGATGACCCCATGGCCATTTGGGTCCATGTTTATGTCATGACCCCAAATTCTTTCTTATATCACAGTTCCACATGCTTTCGAAAAAACCGTTAAACTCTAGGATCAGTTTCGAGGATTGAGGACGGTCTCATGGCCATCAGGGTCCATGTTTATGTCACGACCCCAAATTGTTTCTATCATCACAGTTCTTAGTGTTTTTCAAAAACTGTGGAGCTCTAGGATCAGTTTCATGGATTGACCACTTTTACGGATGTTCCGGATCTTCCGCTGGACGGTCCCATGGACATCCAGGTTCATGTTTATGTCACAACCCCAAAATATTTCTATCATTACAGTTCCTAATGTTTAAAAAAAAAACGTGGAGCTCCAGGATCAGGATCGTGGATTTACCACTTTTATGGATGTTCCGGATCTTTCGTTGGACGGTCCGATGGCCATCTGGGTCCATGTCCCAAATTAATTCTTATATCATAGTTCCTAATGTTACAAAAAACCGCGGAGCTCTAGGATCAGGTTCATGAATTGACCACTTTTATGGATGATCCGGATTTTTCGAGGACCGTTCCGTTGTCTCCAGGATCCATATCTAGGAACCATGACTAATTGTGAACATTTGTGCCCATTAATCTAAATTACAGATCTTGCGCCAATCTTTTTACAATCAAATATTCTACAGACCCAAGGGATTTTAAAGGTACCACATTTTTTTTTAAATTAATCAAGAAATGGCTAAGTTATGCCATTTCAAACTTGCCGTTACACGTTTTTCGGAGGCTTCGTAGTTGGCGTGAAGTTTTTTACCACCGTATTCGGAGTGTTAAAATAAATTGCCCACATTTAGGTGCAACGGTGCATATTAAGAACTTTTGACGTAGGACTACGTCTGTGATTTCTATGTGAAACCCAGAAATGGAACATGTAACAAAATTATGAAAGATTTCGAACGTTAATAACTCAGCTGCCCCTGGACCAATTTTAATAATTTCATCACCAATCGATCAGAAATATTTCTACACATCTGTTAAGTTTAAGACTTTATCATTTTTCAACATGTCACTATTGAAAATTGCATGAATCAGGAACTGTTGCTAAGATAATTAAAATTATCACCAATTGCCTGCGAACAACGATTTCCTTAACACAGATTTCAAAGTTGAATTCCATCCGGTGGTGAGTGGTGGTTTTCTCCAGTACACAAGCTCCCCGCAAGCAGCTAGCTATCAAGGCTGACCTCATCCGCTGATCGGATTCAGTTCCAATCACTGTGTGTGGTGGTGTGTGGTCGTCGGTATCAACAGCAGCAGCAGTGCTTTCGGCGCGTGGCTTTGAACATTGTTCTCCAGTACACAACGAAAGGCTGCCTGCGATCGGAATCAGTAGCTCTTCGTAAGTCACTGTGGGCCATCTATGTCAAGTGCGAGAGGCTAACAGTATATTCTTTTTGCCTTTCTCGTATACTGAGATTTTAAACAATATCTCAACGATTTGTGGCACTTTATCAAATCCAACGGTATATATGGAAAGGTGAATAAATTTAGAAGTCATTGTTGCGTTTGCAACCGCATGACGAACCCCTTGAAGAAATGTGTGATATTGTTGTGTGTTTGTTTGTCGTTCTTCGGGGTTTTCTCCGACACGCCCGTGCTGTTAATGATCAGGCACAATAGATCAGTGAAAGCAAGCGACGGCACGGGTGCATTGGAAGAGATAATCGTTCTGTTGGCTGTTCTAATGCGAGAAAACACCGAAGTTGTAAGTACAGCAATTTGTAATATATTGTGTTTTGATATGTCTTTTGATATGTATTTTAATTATATAAATAATACAGCTTTGTAGCATGTGGCAAATATTGCAAATGTGCATTTTATTTGCTCTGCTGAAAGATCAGTGCCCACCGCCATTGTTTTCAACAGTCATCTTTGACATAAATATTCCATGTTTTGTTTAAACTCGAAAAGAGAGGTAAAGTGCGGGTTGTGCTTAGTAGGACGGAAATTAGATCAAAAACCCTATAATAATTGCAAAAACTTGCCCAGGAAACACTTAAATGTATGTATGTCCTATGTGACCATCGATGATCAACCAATGCACAATGGGAATTTTTTCAAAAAAAGCAATTTAGTTCAATATCTCAAAATGCCGCTGGATATGATGGGATATTTATACATCAAAAGTTAGCTTTTTTGACTAAAAATCAAATGCCTAGATGGTTTTGCATAACACGAATAATTTTCGGGTAGTTTGAGGCATAAATAAGGAATTTTACTCTATTTTTAGTGCCTTTATTTGTGTTATAGTCGATCACTAAGTGAAATGTCAATCGTTTTTAATAAAACCAGATTCATTTCAAAGCTAAAATTGTCCTTCATAATTGTATGTGTCAAATTGAAAATAGAACTTAAAATTGTTAAAGTTCAGCAGAACCATTAGCAGTAAAAACAATAACAATATGTGAAAATAGTACTTTTTTTGAGTTTATAGATGCAAACTGAATAAATCATATCATTTCTAAACGAAAAAAACCCCGAGGAGGTTTAATTCTGGTAAAAATACCGAAAGTTGGGATTTAAGTGGGTTTTGTCCTCAAATACCCTTTATCATTAAATGGTTAGTATTTATAATTAATTTTTTTACAATATTAATTTCAATTTAACACATACAATTATGAAGGACAATCTTAGCTGTGAAATAAAACTGGTTTGATTGAAATCGATCGACATTTCACTTAGTAAACGACTATAACACAATTTCAGACACTAAAGAATAGGGTAAAATTCCATATTTTTGCCTCAAACTACCCAAAATTGATTCGTGCCGTCCACTACCACCTAGGTATACGATTTCTAGTCAAAAAAGCTAACTTTTTATGTATAAATATCCCATCATATCCAGCGGCATTTTGAGATATTGAAATAAACGCCTTATTTTGAAAAAAAAATCTCATTGTGCAATAATTGTGTACCGATACCGATTGCATATGCTTAAAATTTATTTCCCTAGGAGAAAATCACATTTCCATTTATTCCTCCAGGGTATATTATGCAATTGGTTCATTCTAAGGTTTATATTGTAGCATGATAATGTGACTTCCTAACACACATGATTTAGAATTAATCTGATTCTTATTGTTTGGAGGAGCCATGCTTTTAAAGTGTCTTTATATTTATTTCCCCTAGTGTACAGCTTTCCCCCAAAGAACACTGAGTTCTACCCACCGCTTTGTCTCGGTGGGTTTTCAACCAAGCACTCTGATTTTATGCGAGTGACTAGATGTTTATTGGCACTACTCACATGCGAAAAATCAGACCGACTAGTTGAAACCCCGCCGAGAAAAAGCGGAGGGTGCAACTCAGTGGGTAACGCGTTCTTCGGGGGATAGCTGTACAATCGGTCACTTTTCTAAACGCTCAATCCACACTCACCTGGCTATTTCCGGCGGATCGACTGATCATTTCCTTCGCAAACGAAACTGCCATCTGGCCGGCTGGACTCATTATCAAGTCCTTCGCCGTATCCGCAAATCCTCGTCCCATCGATGAAGACGACGACGACGACGACGAGGAGCTCGGCTGTCTACTGTTCACATTGTAATTCAAATCATTCCCATCGAATTCATGCACATTGCAGTTAATTTCACTGATGATCAACGCCAGAAGCACAGCTCCTACTGCCAACAGAGGAATATTCCAGAATTTCATCCTTTCCCGTATTGATCTTAGCACGTAAACACACGCACTCGTTCTTCCCCAAAAAATATCCGTGTCCTAATTTCCGACCAACACCACTTCTGGTATCACTGAAAGGTTGCACAAAACTGAGCCCTGTGTGACGATCGAAGTAATATAAATATCTTTTCCTCTAAGTACGTATCCCTGTATGACTGGAATGTGTCTACCTGCGCTACCTATCGTCCTCCGAGTAATGATTGAACAAAACAAAAACGCAACAATAAAATATGCCTTCAGCAAACGCAAAAAAAAAAAACAGAACTAGCACGTGTAGGAGGAAAAGAGAGACTCCCAGCGGAGTGCTCTTCTTCCGAACACTTTTTCCTAAAACTGACTCATTTTTGCCCTTGGCTAACGACAAGTAGGCAGTGGTCTTAAGAGACCTTTTTTCCTAATGACTGCGCGAACACAATAGATCCCCGACCATACCCCTTGCATACGAGTAGGTCCGCCAACGACGGTGACATTCGCACATACAATGCATCATACCTATTGCTGTCATCAAAGCACACATTGGTACATTTGCCATTTTCCCATTGTTATGAAGATGGTTGTGTTTTTCTTCCTTATGTGATTCTGTCACAGAGTGGATCAAATTTGAACCAATCGAGGTGGAAAATTTGGCCATTTTTATGATGACTCGGTGGTGCACACCAGAGATCACCGATCTGCTGCTTTACAAATGACTTTGACTTGGCTAACAAGAGTGATTTCTGCTGATTCTCTTATATAATGCTTCGTTCCTGAACGATGAGAGGTTGCTGCATTTGGTAATCGAAAGGTACACGGAAAGGCTTTTATCTGGCGTCTCCTCGTTAGAGGGAAAGGATAATAAGAAATGTTATTGACGGATTGACTCATTATGATCATAATCGCATATCAGTCCCATCGTTGCTTAATTTCCTGTCTATATGGGACGTAAGGGCCTCCCTTAGCTCAGCCGGTGAAGCCGCAGCTATAAAACAGAAGGCGACTAGGTTAGATCCTCGGTCCGGTCTAGGAATTTTTCGGGTTGACAAAATTTTCGACTTCCTCGGACATAGAGTATGATTTTACTTGTCACACAATAATACTAATGCAAAAATGGTACAGGATTCTGAGCCTAAATTGTGTACCCTTTAAAATCCGCACACAAGTCGGCGCCCGTGGTGTAGTGGTAAGCGTGACTGCTTTCTAACACCCCGATGGGTCTGGGTTCAATCCCAGCCGAGGTCGGTGGGATTTTTCTGAGGCATAAAAATCTCTGGTCACGTCTTCCTTCGGAAGGGAAGTAAAGCCGTTGGTCCCGGCCCATGTGTGTTGAATGGGTGCGATATCCTACGCAGGTGTGGAAGCTGCCTTCCTGCACATTCGATTGCCGTCAATGGATGACAATCGATGTCCGTCGGTGATTGGCACTAGATTGCGGAACAGAGACCGACGTTAAATAAAGGAAAGAAGAAGGATTTATATATATATATACTAGCTGAGTGTGCCCGGTCTTGCTCGGGATTCAATATTAGCTTGAGTTTATGCGCCGATTTAAAAAAAAGCATGCTATATTGTACGTAGCCCCCCCCTATTATCTAAGGGGCTACCCCCTATGATTATTTCCTTATACCCCCACACTCGCCCCCACATGCCTAATTTGGTTCCATTTGCTTGATTAGTTCTCGAGTTATGCAGAAATTTCTGTTTCATTTGTATGGGAGCCCCCCCTTACAGAAGGGGGAGGGGTCTCGAACCATCATAAGAACCTTCCACGGCCCCAAAAACCCCTGTATACAAATTTTCACGCCAATCGGTTCAGTAGTTTCCGAGTCTATAAGGGTCAGACAGACAGACAGACAGACAGACAGACAGACAGACAGATAGACAGACAGACAGAAATTCATTTTTATATATATAGATAGATAGATAATATATATATATAATATATATATAGACTCGAACCATCATAAGAACCTTCCACGGCCCCAAAAACCCCTGTATACAAATTTTCACGCCAATCGGTTCAGTAGTTTCCGAGACAGACAGACAGACAGACAGACAGACAGACAGACAGACAGACAGACAGACAGACAGACAGACAGACAGACAGACAGACAGACAGACAGACAGACAGACAGACAGACAGACAGACAGACAGACAGACAGACAGACAGACAGACAGACAGACAGACAGACAGACAGACAGACAGACAGACAGACAGACAGACAGACAGACAGACAGACAGACAGACAGACAGACAGACAGACAGACAGACAGACAGACAGACAGACAGACAGACAGACAGACAGACAGACAGACAGACAGACAGACAGACAGACAGACAGACAGACAGACAGACAGACAGACAGACAGACAGACAGACAGACAGACAGACAGACAGACAGACAGACAGACAGACAGACAGACAGACAGACAGACAGACAGACAGACAGACAGACAGACAGACAGACAGACAGACAGACAGACAGACAGACAGACAGACAGACAGACAGACAGACAGACAGACAGACAGACAGACAGACAGACAGACAGACAGACAGACAGACAGACAGACAGACAGACAGACAGACAGACAGACAGACAGACAGACAGACAGACAGACAGACAGACAGACAGACAGACAGACAGACAGACAGACAGACAGACAGACAGACAGACAGACAGACAGACAGACAGACAGACAGACAGACAGACAGACAGACAGACAGACAGACAGACAGACAGACAGACAGACAGACAGACAGACAGACAGACAGACAGACAGACAGACAGACAGACAGACAGACAGACAGACAGACAGACAGACAGACAGACAGACAGACAGACAGACAGACAGACAGACAGACAGACAGACAGACAGACAGACAGACAGACAGACAGACAGACAGACAGACAGACAGACAGACAGACAGACAGACAGACAGACAGACAGACAGACAGACAGACAGACAGACAGACAGACAGACAGACAGACAGACAGACAGACAGACAGACAGACAGACAGACAGACAGACAGACAGACAGACAGACAGACAGACAGACAGACAGACAGACAGACAGACAGACAGACAGACAGACAGACAGACAGACAGACAGACAGACAGACAGACAGACAGACAGACAGACAGACAGACAGACAGACAGACAGACAGACAGACAGACAGACAGACAGACAGACAGACAGACAGACAGACAGACAGACAGACAGACAGACAGACAGACAGACAGACAGACAGACAGACAGACAGACAGACAGACAGACAGACAGACAGACAGACAGACAGACAGACAGACAGACAGACAGACAGACAGACAGACAGACAGACAGACAGACAGACAGACAGACAGACAGACAGACAGACAGACAGACAGACAGACAGACAGACAGACAGACAGACAGACAGACAGACAGACAGACAGACAGACAGACAGACAGACAGACAGACAGACAGACAGACAGACAGACAGACAGACAGACAGACAGACAGACAGACAGACAGACAGACAGACAGACAGACAGACAGACAGACAGACAGACAGACAGACAGACAGACAGACAGACAGACAGACAGACAGACAGACAGACAGACAGACAGACAGACAGACAGACAGACAGACAGACAGACAGACAGACAGACAGACAGACAGACAGACAGACAGACAGACAGACAGACAGACAGACAGACAGACAGACAGACAGACAGACAGACAGACAGACAGACAGACAGACAGACAGACAGACAGACAGACAGACAGACAGACAGACAGACAGACAGACAGACAGACAGACAGACAGACAGACAGACAGACAGACAGACAGACAGACAGACAGACAGACAGACAGACAGACAGATAAATACAAAACTGGCTCCTAGATTTTCAGGGTCCGATTAGATGTACAAAAATCCTGAATTTGCTGAAGTCGCCTTAGCTTTAGCCTTCGTCTTTGTCTTCGTGTCTTCGTGTCTTCGTGTCTTCGTGTCTTCATATCTTCATGTCTTCGTGTCTTCGTGTCTTCGTGTCTTTGTGTTTTCGTGTCTTCGTGTCTTCGTGGCTTCGTGGCTTCGTGGCTTCGTGTCTTCATGTCTTCATGTCTTCGTGTCTTCGTGCCTTCGTGTCTTCGTGTCTTCGTATCTTCGTGTCTTCATGTCTTCATGGCTTCGTGTCTTCGTGTCTTCGTGTCTCCATGTCTTCATGGCTTCGTGTCTTTATGTCTTCATGTCTTCGTGTCTTCGTGTCTTCACGTCTTCATGTCTTCGTGTCTTCATGTCTTCATGTCTTCGTGTCTTCATGTCTTCATGTCTTCGTGTCTTCATGTCTTCATGTCTTCATGTCTTCATGTCTTCGTGTCTTCGTGTCTTCGTGTCTTCGTGTCTTTGTGTTTTCGTGTCTTCATGTCTTCATGTCTTCGTGTCTTCATGTCTTCGTGTCTTCATGTCTTCATGTCTTCATGTCTTCGTGTCTTCATGTCTTCGTGTCTTCATGTCTTCGTGTCTTCATGTCTTCATGTCTTCGTGTCTTCGTGTCTTCGTGTCTTCGTGTCTTCGTGTCTTCGTGTCTTCATGTCTTCATGTATTCGTGTTTTCGTGTCTTCGTGTCTTCGTGTCTTCGTGTCTTCGTGTCTTTGTCTTTGTCTTTGTCTTTGTCTTTGTCTTTGTCTTTGTCTTCGTCTACGTGTCTTCGCCTTCGCCATTTCAAGCTATTAGCTTATAGCTTATTTGAGTAAACCAACAAATTTAGCACCACAAATGTTGCCATGACAATCAAATTTTAAAAGAACAGCATTTCAATTCAAACTTTTGAAAAAGAAGTTAAATATTTGAATGAAAATTTAAAGACTTGCGCTTAAATGTATATGCTTAGGAGAATCAGCTAATTATGATAAGTCTTTAGTGGGAATGACACTGATGAAGACTGCACATTGTAGCCGAAATACGTATCTGAAGATAAATCTTTTTTGTTGTTTTATTTAAGCATTCCGCTAACAAAACAAATTTCATTACTTCCTTCAAATTAATGATTTTTATGTTGATAGGGTTAATTGCCTATTGTTGCACAGCTAAGCACGCACTTTTGGTTATTTAGCGAGATTACTTACCTCAAGAAATCATCAATTGCGATTCATGAAACATTACCATAGCTCATTTGCAATTTATATTCGTTAATTTTTCCTTATACTATAATAAATCTTTTTAATGTGTCTCATAGCCCGATAGCTACACGCACCATTTGCAAGATGGTGGCCATCGGTTCAAGAAAAACTGTCAAATACCCTACATTATGGGATGACGTGTAGAGGCCGGAAATCGATGCCAGATGCCATTTTGAAATCCAAGCTGGAGGCCATCGGTTCAATAAAAACTGTCAAATACCCTACAATATGGATATTTCCGAAAAGGAGACGACGTGTAGAAGCCGGAAATCGATGCCAGACGTCATTTCAAGAAAATCTACACGTCGTCCCCTATCCGAAAATACCCATAGATTTCAAAATGGCGTCTGGCATCGATTTCTAGCCTCTACACGTCGTTCCCTTTCCGAAAATACCCATATTGTAGAGTATTTGACAGTTTTTCTTGAATTGATCACCACCATCTTGCATTTTAGAATGGCGGCTGAAATCGATTTACAGCCTCTCTACACGTCATCCCTATTCCGTTTCGTGTCCTCACATTGTACAGCAACATCTTATATGGACAAGTTTTCCAGACATAACATATTGAGAAAGTTCATATGAACACTAGCGCTGCGTAGTGAGAGAGTTCTTTAATAATATGAACACTATACAAAAGGACTTGGCACCTGAACAACTTTGCTGAAGACAGCAACGTTCTATATGGCCAGGTTCTCGAGATACAGTTTATATAGGAAGTTTGCATACTAGCGCTGCGTAGTGAGAGAGTTCTGAATTAATATGAACACCATACAAAAGAACATGATCACTAGGACTGATGCAAAATTTGAAAGTTTCACTCCACTATGCTTAAACGGTTCCAAATTGGGCCCAGCTTAGCCTCCCAGAATTTGAACTACTTTAGTAAGAAACTGACTTGGCACAAACCATTTCAAGTTTATATGGGAATTACTATGGGAAAACTTATATTTTTGTTCATATCTGTCTAACAATTCACCACATGAATATGCTTTTGAAAATTATAACAGTGATTGTAGCAAATTTTCTCAGCTACAACTTTGTTGAGAACCACTTTTCAATGAAATGCAACGAACAAAAGTTATTAATGATTCAAGTCGCTGGTGTCTTATGATTATGCTCATTCAACTGTTCAGCAGGCAACATTGGTGTTTCTGGTGCGAAGAATAGAGCACAAATATCATGGCTACTATGTCACACTGCAGAATACAGTGTTGCCCACAGAACAGCTGCTTGATCATGCCATAAGGTTATCAATCTCTCAAACGATTAATAACAATTTAATTTGACATTTGGCTGAAAAACGATATTCTGCAAAGTTGTAGCTTAGAAAATTTACCGTAAGAATAGATATAGAAATTTTTGAAAAAGCAATATGGAAAATGGGTAGAAGACAATGAACAAAAACTTTGGTTTTCCCATAGTAATTTCCATATACACTTCGAATAGTTTGTGCCAAGCCAGTTTCTTGCCAAATGAGTTTAAATTTTGGGAGTCTAATCAGGACGTGATTTGAAACCGTTTGAGTACTGTGGAGCGAAAATTTCAAATTTTGCATCAGTCTAATGATCACCTGAACAACTTTGCTCAAGACAGTAACCTTCTATATGACCAGGATTTTGAGATACAGCTTGTATAGGAAGCTCATGTGCACACTAGCGCTGCCTAGAGAGAGAGAGAGAGAGAGTTCTGAACTAATATGGTCACCATCCGAAAGGACTTGGTCACTTGATAAACTACAAGGGACAGCCCTAAGGGGTTGAACGCAATGGTGACGTAGAACTACGTGGTCTTATATAATAAATCTTATTTGTTAACTGCAGTGTTTTGTGTAGGAATAGGAATTTGAGTGAGGTTCTCTCTGTTTGTACTCTTTAGTTTGACGCGCTTGACATAGATGGCCCACAGCGACTCACGAAGAGCTACTGATTCCGGTGCGGCTTCTTCCTCCTTCTATGTATGCTCATGTGGCCAGGTGCACGCTGCTTGCAGGCAGCCTTTCGTTGTGTACTGGAGAACACCACCACTCATTGAAGAAACACCGTTTGGTGAGACCGGATGGAATTCAACTTTGAAATCTGTGTTAGGGAAATCGCTTTTCGCGATTTTAACTATCGTAACAACAGTTGCACATTAGTGCAATTTTCAATGGTGACGTTTTCAAAAATGAGAAAGTCTTAAGGTTAGCAGATGCGTAGCAATTTTTCTGATCGATTGGTGATAAAATTATTGAAATTGGTCCAGGGACAGCTGAGTTATTAACGTTCAAAATCTTTCATAATTTTGTTACATGTTCCATTTTTGGTTTTCAAAAAGTGTACCCCCAGATAGAAATCACAGACGTAGTCCTACGTCAAAACTTTGCTCAAGCCAGTAACTTTCTATATGGTCAGGATAATGAAATATTCTATGTTGGACCGCGCCCGTCATAAGTTACATAAAAGTGAAGCGCCTCTAGTGGCGTAGTTCCCAATTAAACCTGAATACAATGACACAAGCTTGTTGGTCTATCTCAGTACAACAGCTTTGTCGAAGACAGTATAGCGGTATATATTGAAATAAATGAGATAATCCACCACAACCCCCATAAGTGAAAATCCCATAAGATGTGACAGTATATGAACCATTGCATACCTTTAGGCGTTATCTCCATCGACATTAATCCAGGACCAAGCGTCTAAATACGATTCAATTATTGATCATTAATGTCTATCCTTAAAATTTGACATGGTAATTGGATGAACACGGTTTTTTGTTACTGTCTTTTTTACACGGGTTTGTTTAACCGGGTGGCACCGCTGATTCACCATTTACATGGTACGTTTTTAAAGATTTCTCGATAACGATACAACCGATCGATGATTCGAATCACATTATCCGTTTCAAGCCAGAGGTAATCGAATGGCATACTTAAAAAATAAACACAATTTTTTGCAGCAATTGATCAACGATCATGTCATCATGATCGGTAAACGTCATGGTCGGGGATACATACCGCAAAAAGAGCATTGTGAAGTATGCATAAATTGGCAACATACCTTATGTATTCCGAATAGTTTTAAATTTCTAACATATTTCATGAAGTGTGATACATCATTCGCAGTAATTAAAATCTCCAAACCTCTTCTTATACATTTCTTTATTAAATCTTCGCCGCTGATTTCAAATCACAATAACGTCCTATCCTTCTGCTTTAAACAAGACTAAATAGTAAATAACCTATCTCTATTGTTTATAACACTTCATATACGTAGTGTCGTCAGTAAACCTAATTAACATCGAATGTGTAAGTGGACATTACGTTCAACATCGTCATTTAGTGTTTGTTCTGTTAGTTCGGTCAATGAAGTCGTGACAAAATGTGCAATCTCATCTTCTTCCTGCTGACAGGGAAAATTTGTTACGTGGTTCATCTTGTTTGACATTAAAACGATTATGGTCTATCTGTCCGCAATGCGAAACTATAAGGGAACACGCGAATAAATTACGAATTAAATAATCGCTCACATTAATTTAAATAAAATCATAATAAATATGCGAGATTTCTCATTTTGTCAGACATTTGTTTTGGCCCCAAAAAACGTGGAAAGGTCTCAGCGCTATAATAAGTTAGGGTTTGATTATTCATAAACATCGTTACGTTATTCGTCCGTCCGTCCGCGATAAGCTCCTAGTGTAAATATTCATCAGATGGATGCAAAATGTTGCGCTTGGCTCTGAATTTTATGCAATTATTATCTAAAGGCACTAAATACAAACGATACTGTCTTCCGAACCTTAAACTTAACACAATTTTTAATTCTCCTTCCTCTTTTAGCTCAGTTCGCGCTTCCTAATCATCCTTTGGCATTTCAAAATACGGTATGTAGGTGTATGTATGTGGGTTAATGTGTGTGTGGTCAGGTCTTGGGTTGCATCGGGTCTATCTTCGAACCTTCGGGTCTTACTTTGAAATCCAACTCAACACCTGGATAGGTAACATACTCGTAGTGTCCCGCTTTTTTTTTTTTTGATAAACGCAATTTTAATATAAAATCTTTTGAACCACCAGATCCTGGTTGTCTATTGCTTATTCGTTCACAGATGTGGATGTGTGTTTGTGAGTTTTACGTTCGCTGATGACACACAAATCGCGCACAGTCATGCTGTCTGATGGCATCGGTAACCTCCGATAGGTGAGTGGTCAGGCTTGCTCCCAGCGTTGGATGCATCCTAAAATGAAATGGAATAATTAGAGCTCGAAACATCATTCGTGAGGAGAGCCACACTGTTGGAACTCACGCAGTCATACTATATTTGAGAGAGTTACATATGTTGGCTTAATCAACTACTTTCTGACGAGAAGTGTACACAGGATTTAAATCATTTGATCTTTGAAGTGACGTGACGTCTCCATCAAATGCATCACTGCTTTCCCTTACCATGGTAAATTACCTTCATGATGATGATCAGTTATGCATGAGCATGAGAATTTTTCAATTGAAAAATTCTCATGCTCATGCATAAGAATCGAGAGAATCGGATTCTGATAATAATTCTAAATTAATTTTGAAGGAGCAGCAATGTTTATGGAGAGAAACGAAGACAGTAGGCTCTGCCCGCAATCGGTTGGCATTTTAAAAAGCAGTCACGATTTTTCGGTTTTTTTTTCACGTAAGTGATTTTTCGGTATTGTGTTGGTACGGTTGGTCGGTTGATGCAGTCTTTTTGGGGGCTGTTTATAAACTACGTAGACAGTTTAGGGGGGGAGGGCTTTACAATTATCCACGGCCCATACAAATAAAAAAAAATGTATTGACAATTGTCTACGCAGGGGGAGGGGGGGGGTCAAAAATCCAAAAAAAAACTGTCTACGTAGTTTATGAACAGCCCCTTGGTGGCATTGATTCGGTCGTTTGTTTTTTTTAGTTGAAAATTGAGTAGAATTCTTTTTTATAAGAGGCGAGCAGCCCGGAGGCAGGCTCGTAGGCAACATTGTATATGGTGACAGCGGGCCCAGTACAGCAAAACAAACGATTTGGGCCCCGGACATGCTGCCTACTGTCAAACATAGCTGTTAGTATAGGCCTTGTCACCGGTCTGGAGGCGAGAGTATTGCCGTTTCGTCGATGAAGGTTGGAGGAGAAGGAGGAGAGGGTGAAGGAATGGTTTGGTATTTGTGAAGGGTTTGTGAAGTCCTGTATCGAAGTTGTAGAATAACAGTGGGAACGAGAGAAAAGCTATACTGTTGAGACGAAGGAATTTTGAAGATGAAGGATGGCTTCAGAAGTCACGAGTTCAGAAGAGAAGAATGGATGGTAGTGGAAGTATGGTATATGGAATCGGTATTGTGAATGGAAGAAGTGTATAGAAAGAGGAGTGGTGAAAGTTAAGCAGTTTGGAGAAGAACAGGATCCGGTTCAAACTTTAGAGAGATCCATCCATTTAGTAAAAATTAAATTTATTCCAGTAGGGGAAATGGCGCTAAAGTTGGCCCATTGCTAAAAATCTGCTATTTATCAATTTAACGCGTCATTGGGACGGTACTCAAGGATATTTTTGATTAACATTGAAAATTTAGTCGATTGCTGAATTTATGTATGGTCCCAAATTAGGGGTATTTAGGCCCACATTACATCCACTTCCCCTATATAACATAAAATGCATATTCAAAAACTAAATACGTTGCCCGAATGCCACGTAACGTGGATAGATCACCTTTTCGTGGTACGTTCCGGGATGTAAGATCTACCACCGATTCCTAGTCCCGACTACTTCAAACTAGGGGAACAGGATTTTTCAGTAATCAAAATCTTAGTCCTTGTTACTTTTTATGCCTTGCTGATAGTGACAAGACTCGACTTTGTCCACCGAGGATGATCTTGAAACAAGGAAAAAAAATGAGTGAGTTAGTCTTCATCTATGTGGTTCCTAATCTTCTATTCGTTGTTCTCTAGTTTGAAGTGGTTAAGACTAGGGTTCTGATGCATGGTCATTATTTGTTGCTAAGGAATCCAATTTTGACTGACAAAGGGGCACGTTTTTGGAGGGTATTCCAACACTCTGAAGGGTATAAATGGCGGGACCTTTCAATTAGAGTCGCATCCTTGCGATAAATGCAAGAATGACAACTGTAAAAAAATCGAATACTTCATCATTTCTCTATAGTGATGGAGTAATACGACATGCACTAAACTAAGGACACGGGATGTACTACAAATTACTGGTCGCAGTGGTGTTAGGTCCCGAACAGAGGAAAATAAATACGATAGGTCATCGTTTGCTGGCTGTTGCCGCGGTTATTGTGGGTTTCCCAGGCTCTTCTTTTCCTTTTATCCCTGAATAGATAATGCGAATAAGAGCGTCTAAAGACTGGAACGCGCAAAAATTGGTCGACAAAAAATCGTTTCTTTCAGTCAAAATTCATATCACAAAGATCTTCTTATTTTTCTTTCGGTAGTTCAATTCATATATTTAAAGGAAAAATGTTCGTTTATTCTTTTGGTTTGCCAAATACAAACTGCCGTGCCTTCCGCTTAACTCCTTCCATTAAATTTTGCACAGTGGTCTCATCGACAACCATGTTGATCGCATCGTACCACTCGATTGCCTTTTTCCCATAGTGGCAGCTCGCCAAGTCCAGCCAGAACAGCACAGGTCTATTATGTTGCTTCAGGAATGGTAGCAGCCGCTTTTCCAGGCACTTCTGGACGTAGATCTCTTGATTGATGGTTCCCGTAGTAATGAAAATGCCGCTTTTTAGACCACACGTGCATATGGCCTGCCAGACGAGATAGTTTTTCGGGAACTTCGATAGTTTGATGGTTTTGAAAATTTCAGCCACCTTCCCTTTTCCTGATGCGGCATGAAACTCCTGTCCCGGAAGCTGCTTGAAATCCGCCTTCACATAAGTTTCGTCATCCATGACGACACAGTTGAACTTTGTGAGCAGATTTGTATACAGCTTTCGGGACCGCTGCTTTGCCGACGTGTTTTGTTTGTAATCTCGGTTCGCCACCTTCACCTTCTTAAACGTCGACAACCCGGCTCGTTTCTTGGCCCACTGCACAGTAGTATGGGAGACACTGAGCTTGCCAGCGACGTCCCGGATGGAGACGTTAGGACGTTATTCTTACGGGAAATTTTCTAAGCTACAACTTTGCGGAATATAGTTTTTCAGTCATATGTCAAATTAAATTGTTATTAAGTGTTTAAGAGATTGATAATCTTATGGCATGATCAAGCAGCTGTTCAGTGGGCAACACTGTATTCTGCAGTGTGACATAGTAGCCATGATATTTGTGCTCTATTATTCGCACCAGAAACACCAATGTTGCCTGCTGAACAGTTGAATTAGCATAATCATAAGACACCAGTGACTTGAATCATTAATAACATTTGTTCCTTACTTTTGATTGAAAAGTAGTTTTCACCGAAATTGTAGCTGAGAAAATTTGCTACAATCACTGCTATGATTTTTAAAAGCATAGTGATGTGGTGAATTCTTAGATAGATATGAACAAAAACATAAGTTTTCCCATAGTAATTCCCATACAAACTTGAAATGGTTTGTGCCAAGTCAGTTTTTTTTACTAAAGTAGTTCAAATTTTGGGAGGCTAGCCAGGACCCGATTTATAACCGTTTAAGCACATTTTTACAGAAATACACCAATTTGAAGTTGACCAATTTTTGCGCGTTCCAGACTTTATGTGATATTTTACTGTACCTGGACAATTAGTATATCCTTTTTCTTAAACTTGTTGAGGACGCCTTGTCTTGCCTCAAATTTTATCCTTTTTAAAGTACTGATCTTCACAACATAAAGGGCACCATTACGGAGCATTAGATTTGATCAAATTATTCGCAGTTCTATTTGTTCAACGCTCCCAGCTGGGTGAGGGGTAGAGGATGACACACACACACAGAAGCAAACTTTATGGAAAATTCAAGGTATTCCAGGAGGCAAATCTAAGGAGTATTCCAAGTGAATTCAAAAGATAGTTTTAAAGATATGCCAAGGAATTCAGAGAGGAGTTCCAAAAGAGGTAAGAGCATCCCAATAGTATCCTGATGAGAATTTCATGGACTTTGTTTTTTTTAATAATTATAGATAATGTTGTGAAGAATTTAAAGGGAACTGTAATTTTATCTTAGACGTCATTTAGATTAGATTAGCCGTTTTCATGCTACGATTTATTGAAAAATATCGAGCACACCATTTGAAAAAATAAGGCGTCAGTCAAAATGACTGAATACCGGCACAAACTTGGTTCATTGGTTCATTGGTTACGCAATTTCATGGAATATAAAATTATCCTGGAACTCTAATCCCAATCAAAATTTCCTTCTGAATATTGGAATATCCAAGATTGAGTGTCAAGTCTCAGTATTTAATTAGCTAAAATCTTAAAGATTTAAGTATACTGGATTTCAATTTCAATGTTCAATATCTCACTATCCACATTTCAATCTAATGAACCATTCCGTCCGATAGCTTTTGATCCATAACCATGAGGATAGGCAAAAGAGAGGTGGAGGATAGTGTTCAAGTTTCATACAGAATTGAAAAAAGGGACAGGAAGCGTTTATGAAGGCTTGACATTTAAACATAAGGGACATGGCTCTAACGTTGGCCTATGAATCTAAGAATGGGCCCATCGCTAAAAATCTGCTATTTATCAATTTTATCTAGACGAACGCGTCATTGAAAATTTAGTCGATTGCTGAATTTATGTATGGCCCCAAATTAGGGGCATTTAGGCCGTCATTACATCCATTTCCCCTATATCAAAAAATGAGTTACAGAAAAACGCAGTAGGCTCTGTGCGCGAACGGTTAGTTTTGTTTTCGCTGTCGTTGATTTTGTCTGTTTTCCGCATATTTTGGCTAAGTTAAAACAATATTATATTTCACGTGTGGATAAGTGTAAATTAAGATCGATCCTATTTTATGAAGTTTTTTTTATGAAATTGCAACAAAAGTGAAAACTCTAGGACAAAAATTTGTTTGGTTTTTGTTTTAGCCTCCCTCCCAAAAAGAGCTCTACCGGTTCTTTATCGTTTTATGGTGCTGCCGTTCTGCCTTCCAGAGGATGCACGTGAATTAGGTGGCAACAATTATGTGCAAATGAAAAACTTCGCTTATGATTCAAAATGTTGTGTTCGGTTGTAAAAAAAACGCGGAAGAATTTTTAGCGCAAGTGCTCTTTGGAGGCAGAATTTGGTGAGATCTA